GCTACACAGAGCAGTGCCCCTTCCCTGGGCAGCACTGCCCCTGGTGGCTACACAGAGCAGTGCCCCTTCCCTGGGCAGCACTGCCCCTGGTGGAGGCTGTCTCCGGGTGGGTGGAGGGAAATGGGCAGTGACCACCTGTAGATCTCATCTTGTTGGGGTAGGGCTCAGGTGAGGGTGGCCCCGAGGGATGGGGGACACACTGCCTGGCCCCACTGCTGCCCCTGCCCCAGTATCCCACCTGCTCCCATGCCCTGCTCTGGGCCTCCTCCGAGTCCCAGAGGGCCAGCCTCACCCCCATAGCCGGTCCTCTGCTCTGAGATGTGCTTCTCCAGCCTCAGGCGCAGCTCTGCGGGCCCGTCTGTGGCCCCGGGGGCGCTCGGCCCCACCAGGATGAAGTAGGAGTGGTTGTTGTCCAGCGGGCAGAGGGGGCCCTGACTGTCGTCTCCCTCGGGGTAGTGAACCGGGACGTCCTCCTGGGCCCATGGGGAGACAGAGTGGCATCCTCAGGTGGCCGTCAAAGCCTCCCCAGGGCACCCCCTCCTTGCCTTAGAGCAGCGGTTCTCAACCTGTGGGGGGCGACCCCTATGAAAGGGTCCTTTGACTCCCAAAGGGAGTCATAGCAGTAGCAAAATTATTATTATAGCAAAACAGTGATGAAGTGGCAATGAAAATAATTTTGGTTGGGGGGGGGGGTCGCCATAACATGAGCAACTGTATGAAAGGGTCCTGGCATTGGGAAGGTTGAGAACCACTGTCACAGAGGACCCTGGGCCCGACCCACTCCCCACCAGCCCAGGCCTGTCTCCGCTTCTCAGACTGTGGTTGACAGGAGGGGTCCTGTGAGCAGGAGGGGCTTCCTCCCGGACTGTACCCCCTGGAGGTGGGGGTCCTTGTCTTGGGCAGAGCCCAGGCGGGGGGCTAAGTGAGAGCAGGCTTGGGTTCCGTGCCGCGGGCTGCAGGGGCTGGTGGGGCAGAGCCTGGCCTGCGTGGATTCCTGTCCTTGGGACCCAAGTCCCCATAGCTGCCTGTGGTGTGGACACACCCTGCCAGTCCCTACCCCGTGCTCCCCCCCCCCCACCCGCAGGCTGCATCTCGCCTCACATAGGCCCTCCTGGGCTCCGCCCTCTCCCCTCTTCATCCCTCCTCCCCTGCCTCTGTCTCCCCCCTTATCTCCTTCCCTCTTCCCTCCACCCCTCCCCCAGCTCTGGGTCCTGTGCCCACAGCTGCTTGTGAGCCCCAGAGGGCAGAGCTAGCCCCTCTGGCTGTCTGTGGCTGTCCCCCGGCCCCCAGCGCAGGCTGGCAAACAGGAAAGGCTGCCGAGCAGGAGGCTCCGCAGGTGGCTGGGTGTGGTCCGCACTGAGGCCCCGCCCGTGCTCACCTGGGCACGGTCCAGGAGGTGGCGGTGCAGGACCCTGTCCAGTGGAGCGATGCCGATGGCCACCACTCGGGCCTTTGTCGACGTGCTGGCCAGGGAGTGGTCACGCACGGCCTGCCCCACGTGCCGGGCTAGGCCTACCCGGAGAGCGCTGGTGAGGATCCAGGCCCCTGGAGAGGGGAGGTGGTCACTGTGCCGGCAGTGGGGAAACCGAGACCGGGGAGGGCAGGCCCCTTGGCAGCTCTGGACAGGCCAGGGCAGGGCAGAGGTGCCTGGCAGAGTGGTGGCAACACCACCCCCATCCCACCCCCAGCTGGGCCTGGGTGTCCTTGGGGGGGCTCCCTTTCCCAGTGGCACAGAGGGTCCTGTCTGTGCAGTTGTCTTCGCTGGACTGGAAGTGTGGCTGCAGCCGCCCACCCACACAGCCTGCACCCACCCGCCCACGCATGCCCCGGCACACACCTGCAGCACCCCCACACTCACACGAGCACACATGCTCCATGCCCCCCGCCCCAGGCCTGCACGGGTGCCGCCAACCTGTGCTCTGCGCCGCCTTCACCAGCCCCTTGCGCAGCACATCCCGGAGCCAGGGCTTCATGGTGAAGGGCCGTTCCTCGCCCACCAGCGACACCACCAGGTTGGGGGCCGGCAGGTGCCACTCGGCCAGCAGGAGGTCGAAGAGTGCCGCGGGGGCCACATCACCTGGCACCTTCACGAACTGTGGGGGGAAGCAGCTTTGGGGGGCAGCAGGCACCGAGGGCAAGGAGGTACAGAGGTGGGCAGCAGGAGTGGGCTCTGCAGGGCAGGGGGTGTGGGCACAGGGAGGCCAGAGCGGCAGGGTAAGAGAGGATGGATGCTCGGGGCAGGGCCCGGGGCTGGCTTGGCTGCCGATTGCAGATGACCCTGGAAGGCCCTTCGCCCTCTGGGCAGCATGGTGTTCAGGCTGCAGCAGGCCCCCCCCACGGGACAAGCTCCCATGCCTGCCATCAGAGAGTGGGCACCACCGAGAGCCGCCCATGGGCGGTTGTGGGGAGGTGTGTGGGAGTGGCTTCGTGCCTGGGGTCACACGACCCCCTGCCCCCCAGACGCAGCCCTTACCTTGCTGTGCTTTTTCCCGGACCCGCCGAAGTCCAGCTCGCCCCGGCACAGGCTTGGCCCCAACCAGCCTCCGGGGTCCCGGTGTCCCTGCATGGACCCGACTCTGGGGGACAGAGGGGCATTGACATGGCAGAGGCCTGGGCACCTTCTCCTCCTCACCAGCTCCCACTTCAGAAGTGGGTGCCTTACCTGCCCAGGTAAGGACGGGAAGAGCCCCCAGCAGATGGAGGGGGTGTGGCTGGAGCTGGAAACACCCCCCCTCCCCAGCCTCCCCTGCACCATGACTGACAGCTGAACACGGCTTCTGGCTGGAACTCACTTCCCCCAGGTGCTGCAGGCCAGCCACGCTCCACCCCTGCTCCAGCCTTCACAGGGGGAGTCTGGGGACCCCTGGAAACAGCCCCCCAGGCTCCAAACCTTCCTGGTTCGTAACCCGAGGGCCCCTGGGCAGAGGAGGAGGGCCATGAGAGGTGAGGCAGATGAACAGGGCTGAAGTGAGGGGAGGGGCCGGTGAAGCGGGGATGGGGGGGATGTTCACTCCAGCCCCCACAGCCACATAGCAAGACAGTATCTGACCTCCCCCGCCCCCCAGAAGCCACAAGAAAGGGCTCCTAGTGACCGCACAGGCGGGGCTGCCCCAGTGTCGGTCTTCATGGGAGCAGATGGTCTCCCTGTTCTCCCAAGGGGCAGCATGGGGTTTGAACCACCAACCTTGCCGGTGTTAACCCTCGTGGGAGAAGTGTGACCAGCAGCCATTTGTCAAGCCCATCCACACACACCCCACCCCCTTGTGGCAGGACGCAGCCTTCTCCACACAGGAGGGGCAGGGCAGGGGGAACTGGTGGCCTGGACCTGCTCTGATGAGTGGGGTGACACCCACACCTGCTGATGGCAGCACCCAGCCTCTCCCGGCCACACTGCCTGCCGAGGTCCAGACCAGCCCACCTCACCCCCTACTGGCTCCCACTCTGGCCTCGCTCCAACCCTCCCCTCTGAAAACCCTGTGTCTCCATCTGCCCCACCCCCAAGCTGAGCCACAGCAGGGACCCCAGCACCAGCACCAAGGTGACCCCAGAGCCTGCGGCTCGCCAGGTCCCAGAGGCTTGCTGGCCTCCAGGAGTCCAGTCAGGCCCTGCCCTGCCCCTCCGTCCAGCCTGGGATGGCAGCGGCACTCCCACCCCACAACTGTTTCTGGACTTGTCCCCAGGCAACCCCACTGAGAGCCAGGGGCAGGGAGCTCCATGACTGCTCAGGGTCCCTGACCCCCTGGAGCCCACCTGAGCGGCAGGTGGTGACAGTGGGCAGGACTGTGAAGCCGATCCTGTCCTGCTGCCCGACGACCAGGCTGTGCCCAGGGTGCCCACCGGGTGCCAGTCCGCTGTGCTCTGGGCCCACCTCCTCCTGGCTGCCCCAGACCCCTGAGGCACCAGGCACCCTCAGAGGCCCTGCCACACCCCTGGGAGGGGATGCAAATTCTGCCTCCCACCTGCAGGAGCTGGATTTGAATATGGCCTCCTGAGTGGCAGAAATTTGCCTGCTGAGATGGGGTGGGGGCTGGCCGGGGCACAAGGGAGGGGCTGACGGGGACATGTGCCCAAAGGTGGGGGAGGGGTCCCAGGAGATGGCCCCCTGCCCCAGGTGAGGGGCCTGGGTCCCAGCCTGACCCTTGCTGGGGACTGGGTTCACTTGAGAAACTGCTATCTTTGCCAGCTCAGTCAGCTCAGACCTGTGGTCAGGGGCAGGCCCCCATCTGGCTCCCTGTGGGTGGACTCTGGCCCTCAAGTCCAGTGCGGCCCCAGTCTGGTCCCCTTCACCGCTGAGAAAACCCCTAATTGCCGCGGGAGCCAGGCAGGGAGCCAGCAACAAGCCCTGCAGCTCCGACCTCAGACCTCCTTCCCAGGGGCAGGTGGGGCCCTGGGCCCCGTGAGCCAGGGAAGGCCATCCTATGGTTCCCTGGGGCCACTGCCACCCCGAGGCTAGCACCCCCTGCCTCTCACTTGTGCTGAGCTGCCCACGACACCCAGGAGGGACCCGGCCCAGAGCTGAGGGCACCAGTTACCAGGCCAGATGCCAGGTAGATGGGGCAGGTAGGGGCAGGTCACTACCCGGGGGATTTGCATGAACAGAAGCCTGGGCTTCAATATGTTCTGAAAGGTGGGGAAGCCTGTTGCTGCCTCCCAGTCTGCACAGGTGGGCACTTCTGACCCTCACACCTACACCTGCCCCCTTCTACCAGTGCCTTGGCACGCAGCTGCTGGCTGAGATGTGGGGACAGGCGCAGCCTGCCTTGAAGTACCCACAAACGTGTCCTCAACCCCCCCCCACGGCCCCACTTCCCCGGCCCTCCCTGCCCACCATGCCCAACACCTGGACAACCACTGGGCCTCAGGTGCAGGGCCCTATACTCACCTGGCACCGGGGAGCGGGGCCTCCTCTAGAGGGTCAGCCCCACCCTGTCCGATGACCCCAGCCAGCTCAGGGGCTCCTCTCCTCTGATGGGGGAGGCAGCCCTAGTGCTGAGTGGTGACCCCTGCTTGTGGTCTGGGTCTCCCCATCAAGCTTGGGTGTGGCCTGTGGCCGGGTGTGTAAGTCCCCGACCACTGACCACTGACCGGGGATGGGACAGGACTCCCCCTCCCTCCATCCCTTACAGCCTGTTTCTCTCTCCAGCAGGTGAGGGTAGAAGCTGTCCCCCCAATGGTTACAGTGGGGGGTGGGCAATCATGCCAGGTTCTTGGGGCCACAGAGAAGAGGGCCGTTAGCACCGTCTCCCCTCTCTCTCCCTGCCTCTTCACCCCACAGTGCCCCTGGGAAGGGCAGTCCTGGGGGGATCTGTGGACACACTGGCTCCGCTGCAGACGGCCCCACAGAGCCCCACTCTTGGGGGAGTGAGGCTGAGTGCCTGCCGGTGGGCACGGCCCTTTCTCCCTGTCCAAGGTCACACCCTCCAACCAGAACTCACTGCCTTTGAGTCGAATCCAGCTCATGGTGACCCCGTAGGACAGGGTAGAACTGCCCCTGGCGGGTTTCTGAGACTGTCGGTCTTCACGGGAACAGAAAGCCTGGCCTTGCTCATGAAGAGTAGACAGTGGTTTCGAACTGCGGGCCTTGCTGTCAGCAGCCCAGCCATAACCCATTGTGCCCCAGGGCTCTGTTCAGACCCTCAGTTTGTCTCTCTGTGCAACGGGGCTCACGGCATGGTGTCTGCAAGGTTCTCCCGGGACCCTTCCTCCCCGTAGACTGCCCATACCTCCGTTGGTGCAGTGGTCGCTCACTGGCCTGCTCACCAAGAGGTCGGCAGTTCGAAACCACCGGCCGCTGTGAGGGAGAAAGACAGGGCTGTCCGCTCCCGTGAAGAGTTGGCAGTCTCCAGATCTGAAAGAGCGCGATCTCACGACGGCGCTCTACATTTAGCTGAATGAGCGCCGCAGGGAATATTTCTGCTTTGAGGCTTCAGGATGATCTCCGGGAACAGCTTCAGGGGTCCGCCCACCTTCTATGGCTCCAGAAAGTCTGGTGTCCGTCACACTTGGGCATCCTATTCAACACGGCCCTCCTGTTAAGCAGGCCTCTTCTCTAGATGCCGTGATCAGAACGTCCAGTGACCATAGCCAGGCACCATCCAGTTCTTCTGGGGCTCCGGGGAGAAGAGGCCAAAGCTCGCTGTCAGGGAGGCAGCTAGTCACCCGTCCCATGCCCTCCTCCTATGCCTGGCTCTCCTTGTTCCTCGGTCGCCCAGGCAAGCTGAAGCCAGTGATTGTACCACTTGCTTTTAAGAAGACCTGAGGCACTGCACACCGAGGGGAGGAGGGTTAGGTGGTGGTGGTAGTGTGTGTGTGTGTGTGTGTGTGGTGGGGAACAGAGACCCCAAGTACATTGTTAGGCCCTTTAATGAACCCAGGACCCAAACCTCCAAACAGAGGAGCAAGGAGCCCAGTCCCGTGAGATGTTTGGATGTACACACGCAGCCTCCGTTGTAGTTTGTTGTAAGCAGCCCTCGCACCCCACAGACGCCACCGCAACTCCGTGCAGGTGTCTCACTGATTCGAAGCACTTGTAGGAAGGGACTGCTTTTGTCTCTTCATCATGAACTCCCCGCCCCTTCTGTCCTGCTGGCACATGGGTTTCATCCTGGGCTGCTCCCCACAAGGCCAGCGGTTCGAGACTACCAGCTGCTCCGAGGGAGACAGACAGGACTGTCCGCTCCCGTGAAGAGTGCCAGCCTCAGACACTCACGGGGCAGTTCCCCCCTGCCCTGTAGGCTGGCTGTGAGCCGGCAGTGACCCGATGGCAGCGAGAGGCAGAGGGAGAGAGCTGGCCTTTCGAAGACCGGTGGCGCTGCCTCCAGCATCACAGCAGCCCGTGTGACAGCGACAGACAGGCGGTGGGGAACAGCGACGCCTTTGAATGGCGGTGCTGGCAGAGCACCGGGAATGCCACAGACTGCCGCGAGGACAAGCAGACCTGCACCGGAAGACGTACAGCCAGAATGATCCTTCAAGGCGAGGAGGGGGAGACGTGGCCTCCCGTCCTTTGGACATGTCGGAAGAGAAGGACCTCATGGCAGCAAAGGGAGCAAGGCCCTGGACAAGACGAGGGCACCGTGGTGCCACGGGTTGAAACATAAGAACAGCTGTGAGGACCGCACAGGACCGGGCGGTGTTTCCGTCTCTCAGACACGGCGTCCCTGTGGGCCAGAGCTGACTGAACTGCACCCAGCAAGTACAGTGGGGTCCAGGAGGTTGCAGGGTTTCCCAGGGTAACGCATTAAGAGTGGAGAGCTCCCCCAAATGCTCTGTACCCCTTTCTCCAAGGAGCACCCTGCCCAGGGAGTCCTCACTTCCTGAGCCCATGGGAGGGTGAGGGCATGGCCTGTAGGGCACTGGACACTTGGGTCAATGCAGTGTGGCCCTCTGGCCACCAGGCGGCAGTGCAGGCTTTCAGTTGGGCAGACATCCACCTGGTGGCTGGTTCTGCCTGAGGTTCAGCGGCTACCCAGGGCCAGTCTGAGCAGGGACATTCAAGAGATCAGATTACAGGGCTGGGGCCTCAAGAGCTGAGGCCTGAGCCCCGCTGGGACAGGTCAGAGAGAGTAAGAAAGCCAGACTCCCCCACCCACACCCCTTCACCCGGCCTGCCCAGCCTGGTCCTGCTTCTCCGCTGCCCGCCCCTCCAAGGCTGTGCCCCATGCCCAAGGGGCCCCTGGACAGATAGCCCCTGTCCTCCCTGGTCACTCCTTGATCTCCCCTGACTCTCTGCCGTCAGCTCACAGCCTCTTCAACCCTCCGTGGCTCCCTGCCCCCAGTGGCAGCGGGAGCCGGGCTCCCCTGGCCCTCGCAGTCCAGCTCCTGTGGCTTTGCTTCTGTCAAAAGAAACCCCGCTCGGTCAGCACTCGGCGGGGTCTTCAGCACCCCGCTCCCCACCCACGAGAGCCGTTCAAGGTGCTGCCCCCATCTGCTCATGCCCCCATCTCCTCCAGGCCCCCTTTCATCCCTTGTTAGCCTGTCTGCCTACAGCTCTGCCCACCCCCAACCTGAGCGGGCGTCCAGGAGTCCACCCCGAGGGTCCACCCACATCTGGCACAGAGCAGGTGGTCGGAAGCAGCTAAGCACCTTAGAGCTTGTCTGTGAAGGAGCAAGAGAGCAGGTGAGTGACTGGGTGAATCGTGGACAGGAAACCGCATGACGTGGGTGGGTGGGTGAATGTGGTACCAGGCTCCACAGTCAAATGGGTCCAAGGGGTGATTGTGTAAGTGAGGGTTAAAATTAAAGCGGCAACAGACAAGATAGAGCACGCGGGTGCTCACCCTCCGGACAGCCGTGACTTCAGGAGCCTGGTCCACACAGAGAGAATACATTTCCAACCAAGGCTTTTTTACACTCGGATGCACAAGCCCCCTTAGTTACAGGTAAACATACATAACAAAGTGGGCTATACCCCAACCCTAAAGATCCCTGAGTACGTTGGAGGAGTAAGCTAATGCCAGCGCCCGGGCTGTCCTCAGAGCCCAGAGAGCCCTACAGTTAAAACTGCCCGCTACACAGCAACCAGCCACGTGCTTGTAAGAGGCGACTTTAAAGTAGCACTGCAATGGAAGATATAGCGGAAACAATATTAATTATGAGAATGTGATTGGGACTCACTTCCAACTCACATGGGTGAGGGCCTCCTCCACCACAGAAACCCAGGCTGCTGCCTGTCTGAGCCTAAAGGAGTCATCCGTAGACACTCTCTCCCCGTCCGTTTCCCACAGGTGAGCGAGCCGATGGCTGAGTGAGTGAATGGACGGGTGGAGGATGCAGAGAGCGAGTGAATACTCATTAGTGCGGTGAGTGAGTAGTTGAGCCCTGGGAGGCAAATACGCGAGGTGTCACCCTCCATCCTTTGGACACGGTGTCGGGGAGGCCAGTCCCCGGAGGAGGACGTCCGGCTCGGTGAAGCGGAGCGGCGGCGAGAACGAGGAAGGCCCTCCACGAGATGGACAGACGGACGCAGCGGCCATGGGCTCGGCACGGGGCGGCAGGCGTTTCTGTCTGTCGTGCACGGGGCCGCCACCGGTCAGAACTGACTCGACAGCACCTCACAACAACAACAACAAGTAGCTGAGCTGCTGCATAACAGCGAGTGGATGACGACATGCGTGACCGGGAGGGAGAGGACGAACGTGTGAGTGAGAGTGCACAAGTGTGAGTCAGTGAGTGCGAGTGAGAGAGTGAGTGAGAATGAGAGTGTGAGTCACTGAGTGAGTGAATGAGAGTGTGTGCGTGAGAGAGTGAGTGTGTGAGTGAATGAATGAGTGTGAATGAGTGAGAGTGAGTAGGTGTGAATGAGTGAGAATGAGTAAGTAAATGAGTGTGGATAAGAGTGAATGAGAATGCGTGAGTAAGAGAGTGAGTGTGTGAGTGAATGAGTGAGTGAGAGTGAATGAATGAGAATGAGTGAGTGAGAGTGAGTAGGTGAGAGTGAATGAGTGAGAATGAGTGAGTAAATGAGTGTGGATAAGAGTGAATGAGAATGCGTGAGTAAGAGAGTGAGTGTGTGAGTGAATGAATGAGAATGAGTGAGTGAGAGTGAGTAGGTGAGTGTGAATGAGTGAGAATGAATGAGAATGCGTGAGTAAATGAGTGGATAAGTGAGTGAATGAGAATGAGTAAGAGTGAGTGAGTGAAAATGAATGAGTGAGTGTGAATAAGTCAGTAAACGAGTAAGAGTGAGTGAATGAGCAAGAGTGAGAATGAGTGGGCGAGTGAGAGTGAATGAGTGTGAATAAGTGAGTGAATGAGTGAGTAAGAGAGTGAACAAGTGAGTGAGGCAGTGTCTGGTTGTGCCCTGGGAGGGCAGATGAGGGTGTGGGCAAGGCCTGGGCACGGGGCAGTGGCTCCTGTGTTGGCCGGGCTGGCAGCTGCAGGCACCCACCCTTCTCACACACACACACCGTCCAGGGGACAAGGACATTCCAGGCCCCTGACCAGAGCAGGCTCTGGCTGGCCTCCGCTCCCCTGTGGCTTATTTTTAGCGCCAATGTCCCTTTGCGTCAGTTGGCTGGGGCCGGCCCCTCAGGCCAGGGCTGCGCTCCCTCGCACTTCCTCTGGGGGAGAGGCCACTCCCAGGCAGCTGGGAGTCCAAGGAAGGCCCAGCCCTTCCCCAACAGACCCCGCCCTGGGCGGGCGCTGGCCGGCCCCCTCGGCCCCACCTTTTCCCTGCAGAGCGGAGGATGGCCCCGCGGTGCCCTGGGCTCCGAGTGTGTTGGTCTCTAGGGGCCAGGCCTCCCAGCAGTGGTGACGAGCCCAGGTCCGGGTGGGGAGGTAGGGTGGGGCACTGGGCACTGCCGAGGAGGGCCATCAGGATGAGGGTCCTGCCCACACTCATTCTGCTCAGCTCTCACCTCCTGGCTGGAGGACGGGTCTCTGCAGGGATGGCCCCCACACCGGGCAGTGGCAGCTGCGAGCCACAGGTCACCTCCAGCCCACCACTGATGGTGGTCGCAGCAGGTGGATGGGCAGGCTGTCCAGCCTCACTCTGACCCCTCCCCACGAAAAGCTGATGCAGCCTCCCCACCTGCACCCTCTCAAGGTCACATGGGCCCTGGGGGCGCCTGGCAGCTTCTCCCCACAGCAATGTCCAGGTTCTGAAGCTGTGCCCCCCGGCCTCCCCACTTCTCTAATGACCCCCCGGCCTCTTGGGCCCCTGTAAGTGTCTAGCTGTTGGTGCCTGTGTGTGGCCCCTGCCCTGGGAAGGGGAGGCACGGGGATGGATCCCAATCTAGTGAGTCCTGGGTCCTGTCGGGCAGGGACCCCGGCCCACCGCCCATCAGGATCATGGCACTTGGTCACATCTGTGCCTGCAGCCCCGGTGGACTGCTCACCACAAGGTCAGCAGTTCAAAACCACCAGCTGCACCTAGGGAGAAAGATGGGGCTCTCTACTCAGGTAGAGGTACAGTTTCAGGAGCCCACAGGGGGCAGTTCTACCCTGTGCTGTATGGTCAAGGTGAGTCAGCTTCGACTCAGGGGCAGTGAGGGCTTTTGAAATCTTTTTTTTAATCTCCAACCCCTCCTCAGCCCTGGAAGGGGCCACAGAGGATGGCAGCTGGAGACCCAGAAGGCCGAGGGACCTGTCTGCAGCCGCACAAGACACAGAGCCATGGCCGCAGCTGTGGCCCCCTGAATTGGCCACTGTGCCCGGGAAGTTCTGGAACTCCAGGGAGGCTCCTCCCTCCATCCAGAGGGCATTGGGTGGGTCCATCCTGAACCGTGAAGAGATCGGTGTGCCTCTGTTGTGCGCGTGTGTGTGTGTTTGTGGGTGTGCGGGTACATGTGCAAGTGCGAGAACCCACAGGCTCTGAGAGGCTGGCTCTGCAGGATCAGCTGGAGCAGAGGGCGACCACAACTTCCCTCTATCCCTTCCTCATGAGCTTAGAGGAAGCTGTGTGACCCTTCTCCCTCCTCATGGTCTGCTCCTGGGTCCACAGCCTCCCATGCACCCACCCCTCCCCGACTACCGGGGGAGTCCTTCATTCATCTGGTGTTTGGGGAATGCCCACTATGCACAGACCCTGTGTCCGGCGTCAGGGCAGGCAGTGAACAAAGGCATGAGAGATGGGGGTGGTATTTGGTGCCCCGGAGCCTGTTCTGCCCCACAGGACCGCTTCTAGGACAGTGTGAGCCACGGCCCCGTCTTGTACCATCCTCGCCCGTGTTGCGGTAAGAAATAGGTGGCGGAAGAGAGTTATTGAAAGGACAGAGGGAGACAACAGACAACGTGAGGTATGAAACAGCAATAAGCTATCACTGGTCAAGGGTTCACGAGGGGGAGGAGGAGGAGGGGGAAAGAGGAGCTGATACCAAAGGCTCAAGTAGAAAGGAAATGTTTTGGAAGTGTTGATGATAGCACATGTACAAGTGTGCTTCATACAATTGAATGATGGGTTGTCATAAGACTTGTAAGAGCCCCCCAATAAAATGATTTAAAAACAAAAACAGGACAGAGGAGGACGAGCACGCAGAAGAGAACCAGTGGCTGAGAACTAACGTCATTGTGAACACACTAGCTGCTGGGAGGATAACACGTGTGCAAAGGACCGAAGGGCGGGGGCATCTGTTCTTCTGTCCCCCTCCCCACCCGGCCACCCATCACCATCCACTGTCCACCCACCCACGTATCCATCCATCCACCTGTACATCCATCCACCCGTACACCCACCTGTACATCCATCCACCCATCCATCCATCATCCATCCATCCACTCATCCATCCATCCATCCATCCACCCGTACACCCACCTGTACATC